TTTCGATAGCTATTTTCTGCTATCGTTATCAAAAGAACCTAAATGAACCTAAAAAAGAGTATGTTAATAAATTGTATAACAATAGTAGGATAATACAATATATGAAAATTCGCTCTGATAATTCGTCTGTGTAAATAATAAATAAATAATAATAAATAAATAACTGACAATTTACACAGACGAATTATCAGAGCGAATTTTCATATATTGTATTATCCTACTATTGTTACACAATTTATTAACATACTCTTTTTTAGGTTCATTTAGGTTCTTTTGATAACCCTAGCAGAAAATAGCTATCGAAACGTCAAGGTAATTTTTCAAATTAATTTTTTTTTGATAAATAATTCGTTCTTATTGCGAAATAGGAGCACTATTTATCAATCTGTAATAAAAGACGTAAGGAAATTCTGTCTTTTCTAAAGACCTAAATTTTTGAGGCGAAATACCCAAAAAGAAGTTTGTAAAAAAATGAATCCGCCTCAACAATATAGAACTTATCTTCAGTTTGTTTATTGTTGACATTTTTGTAGAAAGTGCCTGTTCACACGACAATATTTCCAATGGCAAATTTCACGTTCAAACGATCAATACAACAACTCAACAACAACTAAATAAAAAACGCTCCTAGCGCCGATCTTTCACTAATTAAATTTTTAATTTCGATCCATTTATATTTGTCTGAATTCACTCAAATCAAATCAAAGAAAAATCACTCAGCTGCAGTGATTAATGCACAACGCAAAAACTCAAATAAATACCCGAATTAATGTTGTTTTTCTAAAAATATTGACTAAACAAATAAACCGCGAATAAATCACTTAAAAATGAAACTGATACTCACATTCCGAGCGATGATGGAAATCAACGAAATTTTAAATTCAATTAATTAAAAATGTCCTTTAAAAATTCTGATTTCAGGAATTATTCCGCCACAAACGCGATGAGCTTAACTCACCAAATCGCAGAGCGGCATCAACTCAAAAGCGCAACTCAACACAGTGTTACCCAGGCCTACGGTCATATTCAGTCGACCGTAGGTAGGCTTAGGTGCTGCTAAGCTAACTTGCACTTGTAACAATTTCAATTTTTGCTGAATACCAAATATTGTGAGCTTTTTTTAATTTATATTAGAAATAAATTTAACATATTGACAGAGAAATGTATAAAACAATTTTCAATTTGAATGTGAATAAGCGTTTTTATATCAATAAACGGTTTGTTTGTGAAAAAATGCGATGGGTACTGTCAAGCAAAAAATGTATAAAACATGTCTTAAATAATTAATTGATCATTGCAAGAGTAAATTATACTTTTCATTTGTAAAGAAAAAAATATTGCAAGTCCTTTGTAACTCAAATGTGATTAAAACGAGTTATTTTAAAACAATTTAACCGTAATTCAAACGACCATATATCAATCGGGCTGCAATGCTTTACTAATCCTAGTCATTACCTTGGAATTAAAGCCATTCGCTTATATTGCTAATGTAAGAAAAAATCAATGTTTGAAATCAAAATATTATTCAATAACTAATATTTAGTAAAACAGCTAAAATAATCTTCATTTAAATCAATATAGTCGCTTATATTTTTGGAAATATTTAAAATACATGTTGTCAAAGACGTATTAAAATCTATAGCAAACCGACGGGGACCACTCACCAAGTCATTAGTAACCAGTCAATTCATTAGTAATCACTGCATTGGCTAGATACTAAATTTTGGATAGTAAAAAGCAGTTTGAATTGGTACAACGCGATAAGAACAGTCTCAACGAAGACGTACATATATTTCATTATTTTCAATTTATCGTAGTAAAAGTCAAATAACGTTAATCTAATTTGTAATCAAATTTGTCACGCTTTAGCTCACATTTCTACACTAGGCAATTATATAAACGGAAACGAGACTTAATGTCCGATAACAAAGAAATTAAGTTAATAAAGCCCAATGGGGTCAATAAACAAGCATGACAATGTAATTGTTATTTATTCGTGAACAAGGAAAATGTTAATTGGTCTTTCTGAAGAACAACAAACAGTTGAAAATACATTTTTCGGTCTAACAGTGAAAATAAGATGTCAAATTATCCAAGAAGTCGTAAGTTCGAAACCGATTTCTTGATTTGCTTGGTTGGATTTATAATCCTGCTACATTGAAACATTCCCTGTCAGATTCTGGCAGCATATGTTGAAACAATCTTACGAATCTAGTTAATTTACAGAAATGTCCCCCACAGCCAGGAATGTTTAGGTGTTTCGGTCCGTCTTCAGTGTAGTCCTGGTAGAAGAACTGGAAAATCAAATTTCGAATACACAAATTTCAATCATTGTTTGCGAGTTTCAATGTTACCTTGAATCCTCTCACGGTTCCATAATTGTGCAGCTCAATAATAACATAACTACCATAAGGAGGTACATGAGGATAGAACACATCCAGATACCTCAAAAGTACTGCTATGTTGAATTCGTGGGCTGAGTATAAGAATATTTTCGTGCCTTTGTAATATTCTCCCTTAATTTTTGTATACGAATCGTCTATGATTTTCTTTACAAGAAATCCTATTGAAATAAGGGAAGTAGATATAGAACATTTCTGTTCTTTATAACTTACCCACTACATATTTTTTCAATTCATCAGTTGCAGAACTTACATTATAGTCGTTTATTGCCAACTGGAGAATTTGCTGATAGACGCTTTTGGCCCACTCCGGATGATCATAGCCATTTTCTTTCTGAAAATTGACAAATCCCCAAATATGAAGAGAAATTAAGAAAACTGTATTTTGACCGGGATTAATAAGCAGAACATATTTGCTACGTATTTTTGTGTTGTTGGTCAAATTTAAGACTGTTTCTTCGTTTCTGTATAGTTGATCTAGGATACCTTTTCCCCATTTGTTATGAAACTAATAGATGTTAAAGAGTTGACACAGAAAAATATTATGAATTGCGTCCATAGCCTGAATGTATTTATAATTCGCAAGGGCACTAGTAAATTTCCCTTTTTTGTTACGTTTCCATTTTGTTAGAATACCGAAAAGATGTCCTCAAGTATAATAAACCAGTTTCGCATTAGCATTAAAGGCTGACAAATCTCTACTTGCCTCAGTGGTCAATGAAAAGTACAAATCAGCGAAAGCTTTGCTATACATTGGACTGCCAGTGTGATGCTCCAAATATTTGATAAGATCCGTGTGATTTTCGAATAACATTTTTCCTTCGGTCGAATTCAGGTACTTCCAGAATAGTTTGTTATATCGTGGACAGTTTTGCAAGGGATCAGCCAACACCTGCAAATAAATATTAATATTGGGTTGAAAATAGTCTTGATGTTGTTTTATTAATTGTTCTATTACTATTAATACCCCGGTTACTTTTTATTTTAATTTACAAATTTGCAGCAGTTTTTTTACGGAAAACTGCTCATGCGAAACAATCGTGATTTTCCTAACTTCAAAAATTAGGAAAATCCGTTGCTTTGTGTTACGTTTTTAGAAATTTTTATACAGGGTGACTCAAAATTGGCGTCATTCCTCTGGGGCTGTTTATGGAAAACAAAGAAAATAGGAAAAAAATCGTTCTTATCAAAAACTGAGATATTTGCATTAGATCAGCAATCAAACTCAAGGAAAACTGAGATAGATTAGGGTAACCGCCAAATTCAACGGATTTCAACAATACCTCCCATAAAGCCTTATAGCTTAATGATCTTAACGGTTAGTAAAGAAAAATAAAGTCAGTAACCCACAAAAACTAAAAATATGTTAACAAAAGGTGTCTTCCTATAACTGATAATGGCAAAAAACATCAATGCCGCTTTGATTTTCATAAAAAACTACGTTTTAATATAAAAAAAAATTATGATTTCAAATAAGGATAGTAATTTTTCTTTCAAAAGCTTCCGAAGCATTCCAATAGGCTACCAATCAAACATAGAACCATTTCGAAATAATTCCTCATAACAAAGTTGAAATTTTCGTAAAAAAATGTTTCAGTATTTCTCTCGTACCGTGCAAATGAGCCCCTTTATCCCTTTAAACGTGAATGATGCTAATGTTGAATCATCCTGTCTATATTAAAAACTATAAACCTACATGATCCTCATGAATTGGCCAGTAATTGAATGGTACGGGTTGCCAATCCAACTGGTTTTCCCAAACCAAATCACCTCTTGGGGGAAATAGCGAGGCTAAAACTAATTGCAAGGACATTTTCGTCCTGTTGTAGTCCGTACATCGGGCATCCACCGTATCTAAAGTAAATTCTTCATCTCCCAAGAAGTCGATGTACCTGGTACGTAGTTCTTTGCCTATGTTATATTCTTTTCTTTTACCAGCCTTAAACCAATAAGCAATAGCTTATTATAAAGTAAACCATTGTCTAAACGTAATAATCACGAAGGTTTTCCTGACAATTTTCATATAATTTCAACATAAACAAACAATGTTCCTGGTCGTTTATTTAGAGTATCATAATTTAGTCATTAAAAAAGTGTTTTTTTCTTCAATTTTGTTATCGAAATCACTTTCAGAGGAGCAGTTAATATAAAAATGTTTTAAAAACAATATGCACCATACGAGTTACTTGTGAAACGATTGAGTTAAATCGAAACTCACTCTATTTATTTTATTTAAAATGAGATTTTCGCTTGTAAGCGTTATCATGAAAACGTTGCTGATATCGGATGAAGTGATAGTGGATGAGTGTAATTTTGTAAGCTGGAAAAATAATGCTATCTTCAATATTTATTGAACTCGTTAAGGTAGGTCTGAGTAACTCAACTCATTTTTAGGAGCTGGCGCAGTGCTGCGAACTCAACGGCACAGGTGAAGTAACTCAGTTCCGATACGCAGGGAACGCGCACACTTAAAAAAATGAGGTGACATTTTTTTTAGTTAACTAAAAAATAATAACCATTTTTTT